TCTTCTGCATTCTATTTGCCAGTATCTTATTAAGGATTTTTGCATCTATGTTCATTAGTGAGATTGGCCTATAGTTCTCTTTTTCAATTGGGTCTTTCTCTGCTTTGGGGATCAAGGTGATGCTTGCTTCCAGTTATGAATTTGGGAGTACTGCCTCCCTTTCAATTTCATTGAAGAGAATAAAGAGTAGTGGCAGTAGTTCCTCTCTAAATGTCTTGTAGAATTTGGCAGTGAAGCCATCAGGACCTGGACTTTTCTTAGTTGGTAAGTTTTAATTATGTTTTCAATTTCATTAATTGATACTGGGTTATTTAGAAATTTTAGGTCTTCTTCGGTTATCTTTGGTAATTCATAGATATCTAGGAATCTGTCCATTTCTTCTGTGTTTTCCATCTTATTGGTGTATAGTTTCTCGAAGTAGGTTTTGATGATTCTCTGGATTTCTGCTAGGTCTGTTGTAATTTCATCCTTTTCATTCATAACTGCATGGATTTGGGCCTTTTCTTTCCTTTTTCTGATAAGGTTGGCTAAGGGTTAGTCAATTTTATTTATTCTTTTGAAGAATCAAGTCTTAGCATCACTGATTTTTTGTATCTTTCTCTTAGTCTCCATTGCATTGATTTCTGCTCTGATCTTTATAATTTCTTCCCTTTTATGAGATTTGGGTTTGTCGTGGTCTTCTTTTTCTAGAAGCTTGAGGTTCAGCATCAGGTTGTTTAATTGGGCCTCCTCTGCTTTCCTAATATGCATATTCACTGCTGTGAGTTTCCCTCATAAGACTGCTTTCATTGTGTCCCATATATTCTGATATGTTGTATTGTCTTTGCCATTTAATTGTAGGAACTGTCTGATTTGTTTAATTTATTCTGTGACCCATTGGTTATTCAGAAGTGTGTTGTTCAATTTCCAAGTGTTTATGAAATTTTTCCAGTTTCTTTTCCTGTTGATCTCCAATTTCATTGCACTATGGTCTGATAATATATGGAAGATAACTTCAATTCCTTTGCAGTTACTTAAATATGTTCTATGAGTGTTTATGTGGTCTATTTTGGATTATGATCCATTGCACCTGAAAAGAATGTGTATTCTGATTTTGTGGGGGTGGAACTCTCTGTAAACATCTGTTAAGTTCATTTGTTCAAGAGTTCGATTGAGTTCTAGTGTTTCATTATTTTTTGTCTAGTTGATCTATCTATTTGTGACAGTCAGGTATTGAAGTCTCCCACTACTATTGTATTACTGGCTAGATCATTTTTCATGTCATTTAGTATTTGTTTTATATAGTTGGGTGCACTAGTGTTTGGTGCATAGATGTTTATGATTGTCATCTCTTCCTCTTGGCTTGTTCCCTTTACAAGAATGTAGCCTCTCTTAATCAGTGTTGGTTTGAAATCCACTTGATATGCAAGAGAATAGCTACTCTTGATTTTTTTTTTTGGTTCTGTCCAATGGAGTATTGTTTTCCACCTTTTAACTTTCAGTCTATACTTTTCTTTTTGAATTAAGTGTGTTTCTTGTTTGCCACATACTGTTGGATCTTGCTTTTGACCCATCCTGCAAATTTATTTCTTTTGATTGGTGAGTTTAGACCATTAACATTGATGGTATAACTGATGCATATTGACTTGTCCTTGTCATGACTTTTTCTTTTTGTTGGATTCTCGCCCTTTGCTTTCAATTTCCTTTTGTGCCTGGTGGATTCATTCTGATGGTCTTCCTGGAGTTGTGATCCTCATTTTCTTTTCATAGGATTTTGTCTAAAATTTTTTGGAGTGCTGGTTTGGTATTTATGAAGTTCCTGAGGTGCTCTTTATCATGAAAGTATCTTATTTCACCATCAATTTTGAAAGATAGTTTTGGAGGACACATCAATCTGGGCTGGAGGCTGTTTTCCTTTAGGGCTTGGAATACGTCACTCTGAGCTCTTCTTGCCTTGAGTGTTTGCACTGAGAAGTCTGCTGTGATTCTGATGGGCTTTCCTTTGTATATGATGTGTTACTTTTCTCTCACTGCTTGTAGAACTTTGTTCTTCTGTTGGATTTCTGGAATCTTAACGATTATATATCTATGTGTAGATTTTTCTTGATTAATGCTAGTTGCAGTCCTATATGTTAGTAATGGGGCATGTGGATGTCCATTGTACTCTATGATGACCCTAGAGTGAATAATATAATGACTTTAGAGTGAATGCACATGTACATAAGTCTATATGTTAGTGAATAGGTGTGGGTGCATACTGTTTTAAAGTTAATCAGCCCCTTTGCTTCCCCTATACTTTATTGGAGGTGGGGATGGCTGATAGTTTGTGCCTCTGGCTTTCTCTTGGTGTCCTGCCTGTCACCTCTTTTTTCTAGTCTCATGGTGCAAGTTCCAAGGCCATTTGGTGCCTTTCTTTATCTTTTTTTTCTTTGCTTCACTTAGACTCTCTCTAGTAGTTTGTTTTTAACCCCTTCCAGTCAGGATCAGCTGGAAGACCTAAGGAGGCCCCTATTTTATTTTTTTGTCTGCAGACCCTTGTCCTTACATAATTATCCATGTTTAAGTTTAGGAGGTCATAATGCCCAAGGTGGCATATCATAAACACCAGTGAGAGACAAAATGGGAGGCATCTGGAGTCAGACATGTCTGACCACAATGGGACACACCTCAGTCTGACCCTTTACTGCAAACCTGTGTCATCCAGGTTTCTTCTTCCTCCTCTTCCAGGGCCCCATGCAGCTCGGAACCTGTAAGCTGATGTACCAACCCTGAGCGCACCCCCTTGGACACTGTCTACAACAGTGCAACACCACTTGCAACACCACTACCAGCTCCGTCGCCAAAAAGTTCTCCACCACTAGCAGCAGATTCACCTATGACTGTGAGTTCCTCTCTCTTGATAACTGTTCCTTTTTCCCTTTGCCCTTCCTGCCTGTTGCTGCTGCTACGTGATCTTGGCAATTCATTCCTTGTCATGTACAAGGACCTGGACTATTTTTGGCCCATTCAACTGTAACAGTTTCATAGAATTAAACAGTCTAGATTCAGGAATCCAGATACTACAGACCTTAGATGTTTTTATTTCCTTTCTCCCACTTTATAGATAAGGAAAACAGGGCCTAGAGTAGTTAGAAATGTCCTAGTTAATTGGTAGAAGCAGTTTGTATTAGAGGCAGAAATAGTTCTCAGGACTTCTAATTTTCTTTTTTATTTCATTATGAATCAGTATCAGTGGGTGATAGTATATTTCTTATAAGAAGATATTTGTATTTGTGCAAATTTAGCAATGTGTAAGGTCTCAGTAATGGCAGCATTTATTACTTGCAGATAAGGCTGTGAGTCTAATCCATTTTGTAAAGCACTTGCAAATGGATTTTATGACCTATCCCTTAGGAATATTGCATGCACTGCTTCATTTCACTTGGTGATATTTCACAGGAAAATCAGTTTTAATGAATAGTTTAGGAATGAAAAATCAGGGATCAACTTGTTTCACAATATGAAATCTAGGAGCTGGTTTAATGACTTTTGTTTCCCAGCTCATAGTTTATCCCTGGTGTTAGGACTGCCAAGAGAATATAAGCATGCTTCCTGTAGGGATCAGAAATAATTGGAACAGACTAAATATGGTATTTCTAGAAATCTGTTTTGGATTTTGCAATACAAATCTATTAATTTCTTCTGGAGCATCCTAGGAAGTTTGATGTGGAGGTTATGGTGGATGGAACTAGGTGAGTCTCATGATCCTCATGGCATTCAGATACCATTCAGGGATAGACCCCCAGATTCAGAACTTGAAATGGAGCTGAGCCATAGTGCTCAATTACTTATCACTTTTTTTTTTGTTCTGGAAGGAGATAAATCTGATGATTACCAGAAGCAGCTGCAGGGCAGATGGGACTGGCAATGCTTGCTGCAATCTAATTGCCAGAAACTTCTGAGCTGAGGAGGAAAGGCATATGGTTAGTCCCACTCTTTCTCCACCAAAGATCAAGCTAATTCCACCCTTTATTTCTCTTTCTCTTCTGGGTTCTGTCTTCCACTTACTCCAACCTAACTCAGACTTCAATACTAACTTTAAATTTCCACACAGCTTTCTCTGACTTTCTCTGACTTTCCATCTGCACTTGGTTGCACAAATCCCAAATCTAGAGATTATTTTAGCAAAATGTTTTGAATGACTATTCTACTTGAGTTCGTATTTGCTCCACATCAGTGGCTGCACATTACAGTCATCTAGGGAGATTTAAAAAAATTCTTATATCCAGATTGTGGCCCAGATCAATTAAATCTGGATGTGTAGAGATGAAATTCACCCAACTACATTGTCTTAAAAACGTCCCCAGGTGATTTCAATGTGCACTCAAGTTTGCAAAACCTGCTCGACATATGCGTTGTAATTTCCAAGAGGTAGGGATGGGGACTAAATTCTTTTTGTGTGCCTCATGGTCCTTAGTACATGTTTGGTCACACAGTGGTGATTTACAAACACTGGTGCTTGATTTATGCCCTGGGAGAGCCCAGTCCACACGTATGATTAGTTAGGTACTTGGTCACCATACCTCTTTAGCAGTCTAGGCAGGAAATAAAGAAGGTGTTAAGTAGCAGGATTTGAAAGAATATCTGGGTTAAGATCCTGGATATACCACTCAGTAGCTTGGGCAAGACCTTGGGCAAGTGAATAGAACACTTTGCGCTTCAGATTAGCTATCTATAACTTGAGGAAAAATATATTGCTTGTCTCATAAGAGTCTTCTGAGAATGACCTTTGTAAATATTGTGGTTAAAACTTATAACATGAAATCTACTTGATTAACACATTTCTGAGTGTACAGCATAGTATTGTTAACTATATTTACATTGTCAAACAGAAGATCTCTTGACCTCTTTTCATCTTTGCAAAACTGAAACTCTATACCTATTGTATAGTAACGCCCCATATTCCTCTTTCCTCAACCCCAGCAGCTGCTATTTTACTTTCTGCATCTGTGAGCTTGAGTACTTTACACACATCACAGAACAGAATCATTTACATTTGTCCTTCTGTGACTGATTTCATTTAGTATAGTTTACTCAAGCTTCATGCATTTTGCAGCACATGTCAGAAGTTTCTTCCTTTTTAAGAGTGAATAATATTCCAAAATATGTATACCACATTTGCTTTATCCATTCATCTTCCAGTGGACAGTTAGTTTGGTTCTACCTCCTGCATATTATGAATAATGCTGTAATGGAGATGGGGTGAAAATATTTTTGCTTTTTTCAAAATTTTCTCTTTGTCTTTAACTTTTGACAATTTGACTATAACTCATCTCTGTGGTTTTTGAGTTCATTCTTGATATCATCTGGTGACCTTTGTGAATCTGGATGTCCCTTTCCTTCCCCACATTTGGCAAATTTTCAACCATTATTTCTTCTAACAAGCTTTCTACTTTCTCCTTTGTCTTTTTCTTAGATTCCCATAATGCTTATATTAGTATGGTTTATAGTGCCCCATAGTTCCTTAACTTTTCTTTTACTATTCATTCTTCTTCCTTCTTTCTTCTTTTTGGTCCTCTGACAGGATGATTTTGAAATTGTTTCTGCTGTTTGATCAAGTCTGTTGTTGAACTACTCTAGTTAAATCTTCAAGGCACCTATTTTTTCTTAAACTCCAAAATTTATATTTCTTAATTTTAAGTATGTTCTGTTTGTTTATCTCATTTATTTCATGTATCATTTCCCTGACCTTGGGAGCATCTTTATGAAAATCATTAATTCTTTGTTAGAAAATTTATATATTTTCCCTTATGTAGAGTAGGTTTCTTGTTTAGAACATGCTTCCCTGCCTGTGCTTTGAGACACTGTGTTGGGATACATGCACTTGGAAGAGCAGCTATTTCCTTCAGTCTCTATTCACCTTATGTAGGGAGAACTATTTACCAAACATTCCAGCTAGGGAATTTTATGATCTCACAAATTTTTTGGGGGGATGAATCTTCTCAGGGCTTGTGCGTGCAAATTCCCAGGTTCCAGTTTTTGTTTTTAAGCTCATAGTTTAACTCTGTGGTATTTGTCTGCAGTATTTTTTTATTAAATTCTTTCATTGGTACGTTGTAGGTATACAACACAATTACATTTCTCATTGGGAATTATACCTTTACATAATGCATCTTGGTTCTTATTTTTTCCCCATTCCTAGCCCTCTCTTCAC